ATTTGCAGCTGAAATACTGAACAGTCTTTGCATATTCAATTCCTGTTAGTTGCAAAGACCTTCCAAGCTAAGAGGCGAGAAGAAAGTCTTTCTACAGTCACCAAGTGTAAGTAAATTAACTTATGAGACAAAACTACTATTAACTCATATTGTAAAATGTATAGTCCAGCAGTTTCCTTTAACTGTCAGTGTAAGGGTTTCCTGTTCATTAGCAGATGAGCAAAGCGTGTCCTACAGCAGCCTTAATTGTCACAGCAAGCCCATGAGCTAGCAAACCAGTGACTAGAAGCCTCAGGATTCAATGCTAATTCCCACAGCTGTACCCATGCACCAACACACAACATCCATCGAGCAGAATGTACATTTCATGAACCTGTCTACATTGTGAAAAAAACCTTTTGCAGGACCAACACCCCACATCACATCAGTCCATTCCTTTGCCCGTGGCAAGCAAGCAGCAGCAAAGCAGCATGGTGTAGTCCAGCTGACATGCACTCTATACTTCTTAAACCTGGCAGCCTCTGCTCTCCCTCCTCATCCCTCCCCTCTGAATTACCTTGTAGCAAGTGACCTGCTCCAACGGCCGGGGTCCTCTGTTCCCAGTGTTGTTATTTTGTGACTGCATGACTCCAATGACTTGGGGTGTCCTCTGTTGGTTAGAAGAGTTCTGACTCATTAAGTGCATCGAGGATAAAGACCTTTACAATTGCTATTTTATTAAGAAGGAAAAAGAGCACCCCATATATCAAATGATCAGTTTTCCTCCAAATCTATGTGTGGGTGCTCTGCCAGCTGGAGCACCAGAGACAGTATCAAGCACTGAGGTTTACAAAGTCCAGTGATCCTGCTTTTCTCTGGAAAGCAGATTTAGAGAGTAGGTTTAGGCTGCTAAAATATCATTGCCATCACTAAAAGATGTCACATAGATTACAAAAACTGGCAGACTGCTCCACAACCACGTATGATGTGCTTCTATGTAATGTGGGAGCGTTCAGTGACTAGATCTCCATGTAAAGTTGGAGGAATTGCAGGGCTTTCATCTCTATAACGGCACTCAGGGCTGCTCACTGCTTAGTTCTTGCCTAGCACCCTCCCTTCCAGGCAGTGCTCCAAGCAACAGAACCGCCACTGCTGGCCTCTGAGCTGGGGACAGCACTAAAAACTGAGAAGGTGAACCAAGGCGAGGGGAGAAACAGAACAAAGCAAAACACCATGGTCCCAGAACGAAGGCAGCAGCAGTCTGTTGTGATCAGGTGGCAGACATTAGAGGGCTGGGAGGAGGGACAGTGCTTTGTGGTTTATTAGGATTTGTCTCCAAATTCTTAATTACAAAATAATATCACACCCTGTTGTAAAATAGGAATGGTTTTCCTTCACTCAGTGAGTGTTCCTCCAAGGCTTTCCAGCAAGCCAGATCCAAGAGCCCAGATGTCCAGTTTGGACTGACAATATACTCTCTTTTAAAGCACTGTGGGAAATGCTTTGAGGGTGAGTGTGTTGGAGGGGCAGGGGAATTCTGTACCTTTTGCTGTGTTTGTGTCGGTTGGGGCAGTGGTGGTTGCTCTGTGGTTCCCATTGGCAGTTCAAACCGAGGGCTGGTTTAAACAGAAACAAGAAAATTGATTCTGAAATCATATGCCAACATTTTACCATCAGCTCAGTCAAGTAACTCCAAATATCAAAATGAACATGCACCCAATTAAATTAATCTCAAAGGATATAGACCTCCCTCTCCCCACTTCTCCCTGCATTCTGATGCTCAGCAATTACATATACAAAAATGACAATCCAGTATGTAGTATATCCCTCTGCCTCTGAAGTCTTCTGGAATATAAAACCATGTGGTCCCACTGCGCTGATGGCATCTGGTCACCACTCCAGAGTCTTACTGGTGCCTCCCTGAAGAGGCCCTGCCTCGTATCCTCAAATGGGTACAACAAACTAAACGCTGGCCACATCCCCAGAGACACCGGGAAGCACTGGAGTACCCTCATCTGACACACATCGGATTATAAGGAAAACACAAGATTACAGGACAAGCCTGGAAGCATACTCACTGCATGAATTTACAGGTAGGCCCCTCTGGACAGAATCCTACTAGGTAATTCACACAAATGACTCTTCGAGTGTGTCGGTGTCTGCAGAGGGGACCTGCAACACAAAGCTCAGTAGTTCACATTCCACATATAAGTAACCCCAGCACTCACTAGTAGCAGGTACACAAGCAGGTCGTGCAAAGAAAGAGTAGCAACACCCTACCCTTGATTTATAGCCAGAGAAGCAGCAACTGTGTGACATACATACCATGTTTACAGAAGCCTCTGTCATACCAGGGACAGTCCTTGATCTTAGACTCCGGGTCAATGTGCAAGAATGGACATTCTTTGTTACTGCATTCCCCTGTACCAAAGGCAAACACACTTCTTAGTCAACTGTGTAGGTTTGAAATCAAATGATTCTCAAAACATTACCTGGATCATGTAGCTCCCACAAAGCTGTTACCAACATTTATAAATTCAGGCACAACAGTCTTACTGCCTGCCTTAACCTAGATGAAGAACACCAAGGACTCACCCCTGGTGAGTAAAGTTCCACCAGACTGGATTATTTATGTGTGCTTTTAAAAACAATGAGGAAACTAAATTTGAAAGAGCAGTCATGATAACAAAAACCAAACATTTAGTGCACCAGAAGTGTGGAGAAACTACAAATTGCGCACTAACCTCAATCCAAGGAAACCTACAAGACTGTAAGTTTCTGACAGCAAGTTGCCTCATTATGTCCAGATCTCCAGAGCTGGAAAGCAAGTGCATAAAAGTTTTGCACCCCCATGCCCTCTGCTGCTCATCAACTTCCCAAAATAAGAGTCATGCAAAGACTAACTGCTCAGCCTACTCATCTCATACCCAAAACTGAACATAAGACATAAAATACAGTAAAAAACTGAACTTCCCCCCTCTTCCCGCAAGGGACAAGCTCTTGAGAGAGAAGACATCTACAATACATCACAAATTTAGGGAAATAAGAAGATGAAGGACTAAGCAGATCTGAAAAATTACAACCTAACAACATCATCAGATGCAGAAGAACTGTAACGCTCTGAAGACAGATGAGAGGGATGTACCAGGATCCTCTTCACCATCTCCCATGACAGCAAGGAACACTAAGTAGGAGCTACAACGCCCCTTACCAAATTTGGAGTAGAAGTAACACTCAGGCATCTTGGTCATGTCATACTCATGCAGAAACTCGCACTGGTCTCCCTTTTTGCACAGTCCTCGTAGCCAGTGTTTGCAAACAACTGTCTTTTCCCCACTGATGTGTCGAAACGGGCACATGCCACCTGCAGAAGGATGGGACAAGAAGGGAAAAAAGAACAATTAAAACATGCAGCACAAGAAGGCACAAGGCAACAGCAACACTTTGTTCCCCTCTGCAAAAGGGGTTTCAGAATATGTTACTTTTAAAAATGAATTTAGACTTTAGTGGCAATAGCAAAACAGGAGGTTCCAGACAAGTCTTATGCTACCCTCTAACGAGCTAAGCAATATAATTACCAGCTCTTAATCCTGACGACCACAAACCACAGCAACTAATACAGGCACATCCTCAGCACAGTCTGCATGTGGTAAGTTCAAGCTTTCCTTTATCAGTAGCTTTGCTTACTCACCTCCCAACTTCTTAAAAAAATACCATTATTTCACAATTGCTGCAGTTATTCCAACATCCTTCAGTTTTATCCTATACCTAGGTTATCCACTCATCTTTATAAAAATCAAGAGTATTGTAGACAGCGCTAGAAAATCTGATTTCCCCCTTCACCCCGATGGGCATAATTGTATTGGAAATATTACTTGCCTTTTCCACAGGCTGCTTTTAAAAAAAATTCACAGACAGCTGCGCCTGACTCTGTAAAGAGAACAAATAAACATAATTAACAAAGTTTCATGGCAGCTTTTAAAATACTTCCTTCCCCAGAAGGACAATCTGGTCCTAAACATAAAAGAAAAGTGGCACTTTGGTTTGGGGAAATCACTTTCCCAAATAAATTCCTTGTTCCAAGTCTGGTCCTCACAAATACCTGTATTCATCTTGGGGTACACCAAGGAGAATTTGAAAAGGTTTGGTGGTGCTTGGTTTGCTTTTCAAATATTTAGTCTCTGCTGTTAAGTCAATCATGTCAGTGAACCCTGTATTTACAGTCCTAGCAATGACAGTGTTACATTTTTTGACCAGAACAGCTTGAAACAACTGTTAATGTGTTACTGCTTCCTGATCCTGACCAACAGGAACCACAACATTTGAGGGAATTAAAACAAAAGTTTAGTAGCCCAGCCAGAATATTTCAGCAAACTACAAGTCTCCTGAGACTATCTGTGTCAGACTGTTAGACTGAAGGAAAAAGTTTAGAGACCAGGCCACAGGCATACCTAAAGATGAAGTCTACCTACCATCAAAATACCTCATTGATCAAAAAAAAAAAAAACCCCAAACTGTATAGGAAAGTGATATTTATTCACAAAAGTGCCTCAACTTCCATTTTCCAGCCTGGCTGGGTACTAACTAACAATTTTCATTAAGTAGGAAAGAAAAACATCGGATTAGGACAGATATTTCACAGGGAAAGCAGAAGTTGGGTGGAACTGAGGACAAGACTTGAGCGCCACCGGCAATCCCCCACCCTCTCCCAAGCTCAGCCAAACCCAAGCGGGAGCCCTGACGCAGCCCCAGCCCCGCGGACGGCTCCGGGGACAGGGGACAAGAGCTATCCCCGAGCACCCCGGGAAGGAGGGAGCCGCGCAGCGCCCGGTGCCCGCACGCACTGTCCATGCCGGGAAAGGGCAGCGGCTGCGCCCCCAGCTGCTGCTCCACAGCCAGCTCCAGGTCGAACTTGATGTGGTGCACGCTGGCGATGAGCTCCTGCATGGTGGCGGCTGGGGGGCGGC